GTTGGTAGTTTCAAATTTTGCAAGACTTTTATTCAAATTTTGAAAAACCATAAAACTTTGAGAAGTTTTATATTTCAGTTCTTTGAAAAAATTTAAAATGAACTAAGAAAAGTCACATTTCGTATTTAAAACAAAGAGCTGTTGCATTTGAACGCAAGATTTGCAGCTCATAAGAGTACTGTCACAAAACCCAACTACAGGGCTAGGAATTTCAAATTGAGAAACTTCAAATTTAAGTTTTCTAAAAACAAAACTTCAAAAACCATAAAATCTTCAGATCTCGAAATTTTTATAGACTTAAGCGATCATAATTGGAGGCAAGAATCGCAACCCCTGAGAGTACCCTGACAGCCCCCAACTACAGGGTTAGGAATTTCAAATTTTGAAAAAAAAGTTGAATTTCTGAAACTTTTTTGAAATAATCACAAAAAACGTCACATCCGGAAAATTACAAGGATTTGAGTAGTCATATTTGGAGAAAAATTTGCAACTTATGGGAGTATCCTGAAAGAACCTCACTATAAATATTGGAACTTCAAATTTGGGGAAACTTTTTACATCTAAGTTCTTTGAAAAATCCTGAAAAGATCCTATAAAAAACGTCATATCTCGAAAACTACAAGGATTCGAGCAGTCATATTCAGAGGCAAGATTCGCAACTCCTGAGAGTACACTCTCAATTTCCAACTACATGATTGAGAGCTTCAAACGTTTTGAACTTTTTTAAATCTAAATTTATTGAAATGTTAAAATTTTTTGAAATGTTTCTAGCTTTTATAGAAATGCTTGAAAAATCTCGAAAATTACCCTATCTCTTAAAATAAAAAAACTTGGCTATTCATTTATGGAGGCAAAAATTGCAACACCTGTGGATAACCTGACAGCATTCCACTACTGGGTTGTTAATTTCAAACTTGGTGAAATAACACAGGAAAATCGAAAAAGAAATCTTAACCATTGCAAAATACGATAGAGCTTAAACATTAAACATGCAAAAATAATACGTCGAAAAAGCTTAAACATGGCGTGATAGTGAAACACGCATTTAAATATATAATAGATATCTGATCCAATGGCCTACGCAAAAACTTTCTCGGGGCATCTTTTGAAAACCGAATTTTTTTCAAGCTCGGTGTTTTGAGCTCTTCCTACACCTACGACTAAATTTTTGAAAATACTTTTAAGGAAAATTCTGTTTTTTTAGAATTGTAAATTTTTTTCATTACTTCAATTTTCAGCGTAAAAAACGCATTTTGTCCTTGAGCTAGGTGCTCAAAAAACTAGAGTAGTCACTCAACCTTATAACCACAGGATCTCAAGACTTATCAATTTATTTGTCAAATTGCTGTGTGATATAATTTCAAGTACAATCCTTACAGATTTCCTTTCTTTGAGTGTGATTGATAAGCAAAACAACCTGTGTGATTGAAAAGCAAAAAAATCTCTATTTCTTGAAAATTTGATTAATTAAGTAAACTTGCGACACACTTATGTCCAAAAAAACTCTTTGGACTTTAACCCTCCAATCTTAGTGAATAATTGAAAATCATTATCTTTATCTCTTCAAATATTCAACTGCGTCATCAATCAAGCTGAGCCCAATAATGCCTATATATGGATTTATGTTTTGAATCCTGGTTTTGTAAAACAAACAATTTAAACCAATTTATTTCCGACAAACTTCTGAGCAAGTTTTTTTCCAAGTTGTGTATTGTCTCTCCAATTCGTGTAAAATGCATTTTATTTTTTCAAGTTTTGTCCGTTTCGCCAAGATAATAACACTAGCACACGCTTGTGTTATATGACGAAATCACTTTTCCAAACTAAGCGTCTCTGCGAACGCAATCATCTTGTCAAAACGGACAAAACTAAAATGCATTTTACACAAAATGGAGAGACGATACAAAAAAAAACTGCTCACAAACTTGCCGGAATAAATTAGTTTAAATTGTTTTGCAAAACCAGGATTCAAAACTTTAATCCATATGCCATTATAAGGCTCAATTTGATTGTTGACAAACAACGCATTATCTACAGCGTCAATTTTACACGCAGAGGCGAACCGGAGCGTCGCACCACTAGAGATTCAAAAACATGTGAGCATGTGCCAGAATTACAGCGTACAAAATTTAACGCAAGAGAAGATGGTATATTTCATATTTTTCAAGTATTTTCGAAATCTTACGATATTACTATCTAGCAATTATCTAACCCTAAAAGCTCACCTGACAAACTCAAACAAGGCCAATAAAACAACTGTTGAAAAGAAAATTCGGAATTTTTTTCTTCGTCGTGCTACTGGCATATATACTTTAAGAAAAGGCTCTATTTATTGGTTTGCTTCAAAAAGCTTTCAAAAATAAAATGAAAAAATGAGCAAAAATGATCAGCACGCAATTACTTGCACATAAACCGAAACAAAAGGAAATATATGGGCGAAGAGTTCTTAATGCATAGAAAAAATTCAGTGCTGTAGCAACTGCTGAGTTTTTCGTTTTCTGTTTATTTTTTGCAGGATTACAGATTTTGACACGCGGAAAATTTTCCACTTATGAAAAAAAACAGTTGCTGGCCTGATTCAAACTACGGACCTTTGTCTTTGCAGTCATGCGCGGACACCTCTATGCCGTATGTGCGGATAAACGAACTGATTATAAAAATTTGATAAACAAGCCGATAATTAAATTCAACAAGCCGATAATTAAAATATCGGCCAAAATTCAAAGGAAAAAGATTGCATGCACCACCCACATAGAATCTAAGAGTACTATACATGTAGTGTTTGCAAATGGGTATGCATAGTTTGTCGAAAAATAAAATTAACATAAAAAACTAAACATAAATAACCTAAACTAATTAGTTCGGAAACTAAACCGACGCTGATGAAGCCAAAAATCATTAAACAAAACATCAAAAATCTACAATACTACAATGGTTAGAACTCTAGAATAGCATTAACCAGTAGTTATTAGTGGCCAGTAGTTTTATTTGAATTTTCAGCTAATTGAGCATGTCAGAGAAGTGATTATACCGCGGGAAGTACCACTGCACCTTTGGAAGTGATAAATAGCTAATTGCAAGCGTAATTACACTATATATTAAAATTAGATTCCTCCATAGCCCGCCAAAACTCAGGAAAAATATGTTGCCTGCAGTGCTGTATAAATGCATAGTTTATTGCCTGGTGGTCAAAATGAGGGTGATAGAGGGGTCCCTGAAAAAACCAATCCTCACAGAGAGGGGTCCCACATCACAAATTCTTAGAAGAAACAGAAGTTAAGTAAATAAAACGACGCCGCTTGGTGGTTCCAATATTTTTTCTCAATTATAATTAGGCTTCCTCATCTGAGCTATCTTATTCAAAGCTGTAATTGACATCGCCGAAGCAACAATTGGCAAAGCTTCGAGATCCTGCTTCTTAAATTAGTGAACCTGTTAGTTTAATATTAACCCTCTATCACACTTGTACCTCATTTGATCGTGATTATCTGCATCAGCACCATATTAAAGACATACATTCAACGCGACGCCAAACAAACCAGGAAATTTCGGCTTCTAAACGCCAAATGGTTGGTGATATTTTTCGATCAACAATTAATTTTGACATTGGAAACGAACTTTTCACTCGAGTCATTTAAATTGTGATAAGGGCATTAAAAACCTTTTAAAAATGAAAATCATTATTCCGTGACAATTTCAAATGCCCGAGCTAACCTTTATTGCCCCAAATTTGGCATTTACTATATAACAATTAACTGTTCAGCAAAAACGGAAGTATAATTGAAAATTCTATTTGCTACTGGTTTATTAAATTGTTAAAATTAAAATGGAATGAAAAGAGGAGAATGAAGCAAATTCTAAATTAAACAGAGTGACTTTTTTACTGCACAATTTTGAATATGAAGAATTCAAAATGGTTGAAACGACTCTGAGAACCGACATAAATTACAGTTTTTAAACGTTTTTATTGATATCAATATGGAACAACTTCAGGGTCTGGCTCAGAACTAGATACCAACACTGCATTGTGGATAATTTCATAGCCGCTGTCGCCTAAGAGAACTTCATTTCTTGCTATCGGGTATTAGGTTGACATGTCCAAACATTACTTCAATTTGTTCACTCCTTTTTGCTCTTCTTCTTCAACTTCTCTGGATGGTAAGTCAACAGATGGTAGAATGAGAATATTCCGAATAAAAACACAGACAAGAACCACTTGGAGATATACTCTGGATGTATGTTTTTGCACTTTGCCACGAAGAAGCTAGCTATCGCCTCTGACACGTGTAGAAACCAAGAGTAGACAGCGATTCTGAAACAACAACAGTTTTGTCAACATAAAAAGTCTACAAAGATGAATCCATGTGTTTAATTAAAACGCATAAAGAAATTTGAAAACCTCGCTTAATTAAATCGCGAATTCTTTTTTCTTTCAGGAAAAACATCAAAACTATTATTCAAATCATCTGTTTATCTGCTGCGTGCTATTTTCGAACAATATTTTCAGCAGTTTTTGACGATAATTGAATTATCAACTGCTGTATGTTACAAAAACAAAAGAATGAGCTCAAGTTTGTTACGGAATCCAGTTTTTGGGAAAACTAGATAGCACTGATTGTTTAAATTAAACTCATGGAAAAAAATGATTTGACCGACCTAATGACCATTTGCTGATGGTACTTCAGAAGGTAATCTATACCATCATACAGTGTCTGCGGAAGCACCATCTGAACGGTAGGGTGAATGGCTCTTGCATTGGGGAGTGAGGCTAGGAAAGTGATATTCATCATACCCGCAAGCACCAAAAACTGAACCCATGGTTGAGGGTAGACATGGAAACGGTTCATATTTGAACTTTTATCAACTCAAACCGCTACATTATCTCTGAAATTTACAAAATTTGTGTAATAAGAAAATCGATTTATCCGTATTGCCAAAACAACTTAAACGTCAAAAGCGTTTATTTCTAGTTCAATAAACTACTTTCAGAAAACAACAAATATTTTCGAAACTTTTCCAAATTTTGGACATAAATAGAAACTGCACAAAACAAAATAAGTTATAACAAATTAGCTGTCGATCGGTAATTGATTAGCAAGTGCTCCTTCTGAAACAAAAAAAACACTAGATTTATTTCAATTCAATTTACTGATAAAAAATAGTTGTCCAGTAAATCTACGCGCAATATTGCCCTGACAGTAGATATACAGCGACAGCGTGCGAAAATCAATAGCCTTCGAAACAATTAGAGTATAGTATTTTGAAAAAACGTACCCTTCCCCTCCAACGAGTGATAAAAACAAACTTCATGGAATGATCTCTGCCTAGTTTCGAGCCACTGCATGTCAAGTCCACCTAAAATAAACCTAAGACAATTAACACATCAAATTTTTTTGCTATTTTTGTAATCCAGCATCGTATTTCATCAAGATAATATCTTTGAGAAGTGAAATGTAAGCCAAAATATCCAATAAATAGAATGAACATCTTTGCTCATAGACGCCCAGTATAATCCCGAGAAAAGATACAACAACAACCTTGGAGCCGAACCTCTAAGACTCCAATCAGTAATTTTTGTTCTATTAGAAACACATCAAATTTCTGTCAAAAATAACTCTGATTAGGCGTCACTTAAAAGCAATCGATCAACGTCAAAATTTACAGGACTGGGATCCATAATTATGTTGACCTTTTTTTATTATCTTTTTTTGTCTCAATAAAAACAATAGCTAATCAAAAAGATGCTCTTAACTAATCGAAAAGATGCTCACCTGACTTGGACTTGTCAATCCCAATTGCTTGCATACGACTTTTTTGATAGCCGACACGGGTGTGTGTTCAGAGCAGAGGACATATTTGTGAGGTAGTGGCCCGAAAACTTTTTCGTCCACAGCTGGCTCTAGAATAAACCTAATCTGCATATCATCTCTGTGGTAGTTTTTGTGAGCACCACTTTCGTCTTCAGGATCCTCTTCTAGTTCATCCACTGTCGAGTTTCCATCATCTTTAGCATCCGATGGTGAGGTTCCATTAACTGTGCCATTTCTCAATCCATTAGAAAGATTGGAGACACCTGATTCTAGCTTACGCTTTTTGGCTTCGGCTTCTTTCTGTGCAGCGATCATATCTGCTTTCGGCCATTTCAAGTTCTTTCTTCTGTAAAACTCTTCCTCTCTTTGTAGCTCTCCTTAAAATGCCAATTGATTTCATGAACAACAAAAATGATGACGACAAAAATTTAACGGGACGGACGTGAAGAAGACATTCAATTCTTCAAAATGGGTTCAATTCCATAAAATTGAAATTATCAGAAATTATGAACTAAATATGCAAGCTTTGATAGGATTTTAGAAAAAATAAGTTCTATATGAGTCAAACATTAATCATTTCAACAATTTTTTCTCAATGTCTCGTCGGGTTAATGTACTGTCGTTTTTTTTTTTTTTTTTTTTTTTTTTTTTTTTTTTTTTTTTTATTAGCCCCCGGCCTGCTCAGTGCAGGACCAACTGTGGGGGAGGGGGAGATGTCATCCATTTTGCCGCAGCCGGTCCCACCTTGAGGAGGCGGATGACACTGGGACCCCTCCAGCCGTGACCGAAGCGGGATTCGAACGCATGACCCTCGTGTTAAGAGAGATGTGCCTAACCCACTTGACCACGACTGCTCAATGTACTGTCGTCTAATCCCCCCCCCCTAACAAAGCATAATCATGGGGTAAAAACTTTTAGCAGGCTAAGGGGCTATCATGGGAAAAGCCTCATGTTTTTCAACAAAAAAGCTCAATATACTTACTGTCTCTTAAACCGGGAACTACTTTCATTACTATTTCATCCACTGTTGAGTCGGTGGCGATATGCTGTTTCGGCTGGCTTTCGTGAATGACAGTATCGCATGTCGGACACCGAACCCCTTTGTCGGGCCCGGCATTGACATTACTCGTTCCGCCTCGATAATCTTCGTCAATATAGTTCAAAATACAAGACCGGCAAAACGTATGAAGACATTCTGTAATTGTTGTTGCCTCAATTATATATCCATTGCAGAGTCTGCATGTTAGAACGGAGTTCAAATCTTTCAACTTTAGAGTAAGAACATCAGAGTCTTCAGCTTCCATCTGAAAGAAAAGAGCTCTCACACCAATAGCTTCATCCTTAAACCAATTAAGATAAAAGAAAGTCAATTATCTGGAGTTCTAAGTCATTAGAGCACAACGGTCCGACTGTCAACACACAACAAATGTATCAACTATTTTAAAAACAAATCAAGACAAGGAAGCGCGGTCTGTATTTAGACAACCGCGTATTCATTATCGTCAGTGAGCAACAAATACTTTATTAAACTATCAGAATCGAGATACTGAAACAAATTCATAATTGATAATTATTCATTTTGAAAATTTGCCATCTCATCTCGATTCTGATTGATTAATATTGCATTTGCCTGCTCATGACGAGTATGAATACGCGGTTGTCTAAATACAGACCGCGCTTCCTTGTCTTGATTTGTTTTTAAAATAGTTGATACATTTGTTGTGTCTAATGAATTGAATCTCATCTACCCTCCTCGATTATTGCAAAAATGAACCAAGACTGCTCGTATCAGGGCGAAGCCCTGAATGTTCCGACTACCGTTTGAGGTTTCATAAGCAGTACTAACAAAAAAAGTTAAACAAAATAAAATGAAATTTTTTTTCTAAAATTTGAAATTTTTTAAATGAAAATCATCCCCCCACACGCCATATAAAGTACAAAAAGATAGATTTCGCTCCTATTATTATATCAATTATGGCATATAAGTTTTCTTGAACCAATTTGGAACGATTTCTAAGGCGGATTAAATCTCCGCTTACGCGTTAATAGCGCGAAATATATCGCGCGTTAATTGTTCAAATTGGCCAAAATGGCAATCTTTAAACCCCATAACTTTGCGAAAAATGGTCACAGGTGAAATATCTTTTCAAGTTTAAGCTCAGGACAACAATAGCTTTCGAATGATATAAAAAAATTCCGTCAAAAATGGCTAGTTAAAAAGTCGAAATTTGTCTGAAGAAAAAAAAACCCACCCCGAGCACAAATATTCCGTTACTTTCGTATCGAAAGTCGGAACAATTACCCTGGTTGATATAAAATTCATTGTTGTAATGTTGCTGATTTTTTCTGCTAGCTGCTAAAGTTTTAGTCTGAAAAGTTTTAATTTAAGCCTCGCGTTTCTCTTAAGTTCAATTGAAAACCTAGACGCAAACTTAGTTTTACCAGATTCCACTAGATGCGTTCAACTTCCACTACAATTTTGGAAAGTCAATTACAATTACACGCTCCAATGATACTTACACGCGCCTGAAACGGTGTTTGGGCATAATTTGACATCCAGGGTTAAAAATCTAGCCGCCCAAAAATGATTCGACTAAAGCGACCAAGACTAATTTTTCGCCGAATAACTCAATGAGTTACATCCCTGATTTTTTCCTTCTTGAGAACTTTAAAGCCTGAAGATTGATTTTCGATCGAGAAATATTATAAACAGAGGCGACGCGGATTCAAACATGACTAGAAAAACTAGCTCTATCAAAACGAAGAAAGTTATAGTTTTGAAAAAAAAATCACGTCAAGACATTTTAATGGTAAAATAGCAACAAAAAAATTTACCTACCGGTTTTGGTTCGAGAGATATTATGCACAGAGACGAAGCAAATCTTCGCTTCGTGTACGTAAAGTAAAAAGAACAGTAAAAAACCAAAATTTATACAGAGGCAAAGCCGAGCTTCGCACAACTTGCGATACAATAGAAGGTGAAAATAGAATCAGACGAAAACTTACCAAGCTGTAACCATGTCGAAAAAATCTGAGAAACTCCCAACTCCCCACCCCCCCCCCCCCCCCTCATTCCCCTCAATAGGCACAAGCACACAAAAAGTTTTTTTTCGCTCATCAACCGACGAAATATAAGGACAAAAAGCCGATATAAAAAAGGCCGAAACTTATCAACCCGAGACTAAAAATGAATAAAAAAAAGGCTTGAAAACTAATACAACGTTTTAACGTTTTTGAAGCCCCATCCTCTTCAAAACACACACGCACACAATTTCATATCGCAAAATTTCATAAAAACAGCCTTTATTGGAAAGAAGATCTGCATCGCTTGAGTGTACTCTGACAGTACCCAATTACAGTGTTGGAAATTTCAAGTTTTGTAAAGTTTTTTATAATCAACTTTTTCTTTAAAATTTTCAAAAAACCCCATGAAACTTTGGGAAGTTTCTTGTCTCTAGGTTCTTCAAAAATTTTAAAATTACATCTAAGGTTTTACACCATCTCGGAAACTTTGAGTTCAGAAAATTGAGCATTCGCATTTGGACGCAAGATTTGCAGCTCTTGAAGGTTATCTCACAGTACCCAATTACTACTACTACTACTACTACTACTACTAAAAGAATTTATTCCCTTTAAAATATAAAGGCATCAAACAAAAGAAATGGTATGATTATGTACACAAGACATCACGAACGGCAATTTATGCAATGGCAACAAAGTAGCATTGAACAAGAGTTGTTTAAGTTGAACATATCAATTCTATTTTTTAGATAGATTTTCAATTTTGCTTTGAAAATTTCAGGCGATGAGAAAATGTCGGCTATGTTGTTTGCTGAAATCATGTTGGCATACCGACAGACGCGATAGAAGAAAAATTGCTCTGTAAAGAAGAGTCGACAATTCTGGGTTGTTGAAAGCTTAGGGCGTGAGCTATTGCGAAGGTCTTTGGCTGCAAAGGTAAAATTTATGTATCTGTAAAGGTTGAAATCAAATTGATCAGTCAGGACTCGATTAAGAAAACACATATCATGTAAAGCTATAGTGAAGGAAATTGGCAAGGAATTCGTTTTTCTAAGTTGTTCTGTATAGTCGTTGACTCCCGTTACCCATTTCAAACATTTTCTGTTAAATAATTCTAGTTTGCGGCGATATGTTAAAGATGGAAACCAGACCTGACTACCGTATAATAAAATACTCACAATACATAGCTGGTAATATTTGAATTTGGTTCTCATGGATACTCCATAAGGGATTGAACGTTTCAAGAAATGGAAAGCTTTGTTAACTGCAACCAGTTTGGTTTTAATGTGGATGTCCCACTTTAAATCACTAGATATCGTTACTCCGAGATCTTTGATAGATGAAACTGACGGAATTGGGTAATCATTAAGGCAAAGTGTAGATTTGGGGGAAGTTGAGTTAAAACAAATAACTTTGCATTTATCAGAATTAAATGTCATTTCGTTTTCAAGCGTCCAATTGATAAATAGATCAATGTCTATTTGAACTAAGGAAAAGTCATATTTTGAATAGAGTTTGCTGTCATCAGCAAACAGAAAACATTTAGAGGTTTTCAAGACAGCTGGCATGTCATTAATGAAGAGTATAAATAGTAAAGGGCCGAGTACACTTCCTTGCGGAACACCACTTGTTACATGGCCTTTTGGAGATGCTTCATTGTTAATTAAGACATTTTGCGTGCGGTTTGTGAGATAGGAAGCAAAAAGTTCAAGAAAGCTAACGTCAAAGCCTAAATTACCAAGTTTCAAAATAAGTATATGATGAGGAACTTGATCAAAAGCCTTGCGAAAATCGAAGTACACAGAAAGTACACATTCGCTTTTTGCCTCGACGTCGTTATAAATCTGATCTAGGTATTCAAGAAGCTGAGTAACAGTCGATCGCTTGGTCATAAAACCATGTTGAGCAGGTGTAACTTTAGCCCGAATTTTAGGATAAATGAAATCGAAGATCATTCTCTCCAGAACAATCGATAATTGAGGCAATATGCTAATCGGGCGATAATTTTCAACATTTTCGGGATTACTAGATTTAAGAACTGGCGTAATAAACGCACATTTCCAAAGTTCTGGCCACGTTTTAGTTTCCAAAACCTTGACAAAGAGCTGCACGACTAGAGGAGATATTAATTCACTGCAGTAGTTAAGAATAAAGGTTGGGAGGCGGTCGTTGGTAATAAAAGAAGTTTTAGCAAATTTGAGAGCTTTCTCGACCTTTTTAAGGTTGACATGGAGATCGGATAGAAAAATGGTGGGTTTTTCGGGTTGTAAGATTTGAATTTCATGCTTTTCTAGAAACACTGAACAGAAGTAATCGTTCAAAAGAATGGCTATTTCAATAGAAGTGGATGCTTTTCTATTCATCCAGTGCATTTGGTTTGGTAGTTTCCTTCTGGTAAAAGATCGAAGGTATTTAAAGCAATCACGGGTAGAATGTGGTCTTAAAGATTCAAGGAGACAAGTTTTATCCAATTCGATTGAATTGTTAAGGTCTTGTTGGATCGAAGCTAAATGATTTGTGTTGGCTGTCCGTTTAGATATGGAATGATGCTTATTCAGTAAATGAACTGTATGCGACGAATAATAATAGGGAAGTTGCTGGCGTCTTTTAGTTTTCTGTGCGCATGATGAAAGAATTGCATGATTGATGTGAGCGTACCAGCTATCTACATAATCATTAGTGGTGGATATGGAATAACATGAGTTTTGTTCCACAATGAGTTTGGTAAAGCAAGGGCTGATGTTAGTATTGAAGATCGAATGAGAAAAAGATGATTTAGATAGAGAGGTTTTCATAAAATTCCCACTCACAGTAGGCGCTGCTTCAGGAATGGTAAAAAAAGCAAATAAAGGAAAATGGTCTGAGTAAAGCACTTCATTTACAAATGCAGTGAACAATTCTGTGTGCGAAGTTAAAATGATATCAAGAGTGTTGCCTGAGCGATGTGTGGGTTCATATATAAGGGGCATTAAGCTATGATCCTCAATAACCTCTAGGAACAGTTTCGAGTAATCACAGCCATCATCAGAAGATGCCCAACAGATATCAGGCAGATTTAGGTCACCTAAGATTGTGTACGAACTAGAACCATTAATCAATTTGGAGTTAAAATAACGTATTGAATCAGTAAGCATTTTGGCAGGTATCCGAAACTGCGACGAAGCGGGGGGGGGTTGTAAATAAGGAGGAAAATATGATTAACTGCACCCGAATATATTGAAAGTCCGATGCAGTAATCTGCATCGTATGATAGAGTTGAATAATTTAGAGCAAAACTCCTTTTTGTAGCAATGAGAACACCTCCGTGTTCTCCAGAAGTGCGGTCTTTTCGAGCAATAACCGAATAGGGAGAATTCATAGGAAAAATTTCGGGATCAGTAACTTCTGGTTTAAGCCATGTTTCAGTAATGAACACGATATCAGGAGAATGTAAAGAAAGAAAATTGATTAACTTCAGACGCTGATTTATGCTCAAGAGACTTTGTGCGTTGATAAGGCATAACTTTGATTGTAGTCAGTCAAGATTGATCTTGATACCATTTCGTTCGAGGGTCAGACCACGAATTTTTAGCTCATCGCGTGGAACTTTTTCATTGTTAATCATGTCGTACCGTTTCTTGAAGATTTTACGTTTCAGAATCTGTTCTTCTTGGTTCAGGGACTTCGATATGAAAATCTTTTCTTTGAAATTCTTCAGTTTGTAAGATTTTGCCAGGCATTTTCTAGCATTCCATTCGGATGACAGACGAACAAGTAAAGGACGCGGTCTTCGTTGTTGGGGATTAGCTTTACCAAGTCTATACATTTGGCAGATACTGAGATTTTCTTCGCCTATATGATCAAAAATTTCGGCCACTTTGGCTTCTTCGGCCTCTATATTGGATGTAAACTGTCCGTTGTCTTCGCAGACCCCGTCGATGATTATCTCGTTTTCACATGTGTTGGCCCGGTGACTGTTATTAATACGACTATTAACCGGTACATTCGATGATGTTGTCTTGGTTGGATCAACATTTTCAACAGTTTCTTTAATGCTTTTTGTAATTTCGATTAAGCTTTCTTGTCTTTGAATAATCAGTTCAAACTTAGCTTGGGATGTGAAGATGTTCCCCTCAAGGCAGCCAGAGCACAGCCAGAAGCATCCTCGAATTTTGCCCATTGTAGCTACATCATCAGGAGACAATCCAACACATTGCCCATGGAACCACGCGCTGCACTTTTCACATCCTATAGCAGTTGAGTCGTTGTCCTTCACTGTTTTGTTGCATGGTCCACATCTAGTAGCTTTTGCTTGAGACATATCAAACCGGAAACTATTTAATAAGTTTATCACAACAATTAGGCTAATTACAGCGCTGGAAATTTCAAAAATTGAGAAACTACAAGTTTATTTGTTTAAAAATTTGGAAAACTACAAAAATTTTGCGCAGTAATACTTGGAGATAAGACTCGAAACCCCTGAGAGTACTATAACAACACTCAACTACAGGGTTAGGAATTTCATATTTCGAAGAAAAATTGTAAATTTAAATTTTCTGAAAATGTTTTTAAAAAAATCTCAAAAAATGTCACATCTCGGAAACTACAGAGATTTCAGATGTGAAATTTGGAAGCAAAACCTGGAACCCCTGGAAGTACCCTGACATAGCTTCACTATGAGATCAGAACTTCAAACTCCACGAAAATAGTAATCGTTTAAAAAAATGACCTAAAAAAGTCACATCTCGAAAACTGAGGGCAAACTGAGAAGCAAAATTGGCAACTCAGAATAGCTGAGAGTACCCTCATAGAACCCAACTACTGTGATATTGGTCCACATTATATCAAAATGCAGTTGGAATACGAATTTTTATTATAAGAGTGTAACATTCGCCCGGAAGATACATATCGACGGAAAATAAAACTAAGTCCTAAGACGACTGGCTAACGTCTAAACAGAGCTTTACATGCTTTTCACCGTCTCTACCAAGCCAGTACTTTCGGTGGTCTTTCTAACATCGGGTCGACAAAAAACGTTACTGCTTTCGGCTTCGGTCAAAATTAACTTAATTACATGCAGTAATAGTGAGCTCATGGCTGGGTCTCAGTATCCCCAGACCACGAGGTCACTCCTAAAAACAGGGCTATGTGCCATTCGGCCAGATGGCACAGCGCAACCTTCCGACGAAGCACGAATCAGAGAGAAAAGGCCTTAACAGCAAAAAAGTGCTTGAAAGGAGGGTCGGAATATTCTGGAATATTTATTTGTAAAATTTCGATTTTCAAGTTGGTATTTCTCAGAAATACGAAAAACGGCCATTTTGAGCCAAAAAGTGACGAAAATCAGAACAACGACAGATATTGTGAAAAACAGTCGTGCAAGAGACGGAAAATACGAAGCCTCTTATCGTGGCAGCAACGCACGATAAGACCCTTATCAGTGGATATTAGTGGAGAAGGAAGCTTCAGTGGGGAAGGAGTATTCCACGGAACCCTCCCGGGACGCAAATTGGGAGAGATAAGAGCGTTATCGCTGGAATATTACGGGAGCGGAGGCTTGGTCCCCCAAAGACTGTTTATGTGAAGGGACTGTATAAAACTGACTGTATAGCTACTTGGATGTCGTGAAACTTTAATTTAACACCGGTGTAACTTGATATTTTAGAATATGAGTAGCTAGAAAGAGGAAAGGGTCAATCCATCTCCAATGGATTTAATATAGAACTGTAACATTCGCCCAAATATCACACAGCGACGGAGCGTAGAAAAAGTACCTATTAACGACTGGCAGGCGTCAGTTACCTTAATTCTACTCGTTTTTCACCGTCTCGACCTTGCCAGTTGATTTTCTGGTCTGTCTAGGGCAAAGTAAAAAGTTACCATTTTTAGGCCATCAGTCAAACGACTTTTGATCAGCTTTCGTTTACATGCGAACACAACCACATAGCTGAGTCTCGGATCCTCAGACTACGTGATTGTCATTAAAAACACGGCTCGAACAACCTATTTTTATAAGTTTTTGTGTGACAGTTTTATATTAAATCCATTGGAGATGGATTGACCCTTTCCTTTTTCTATCTACTCATGCTCTGAAATATTGAAATAATATCGGTGTTAATTAAGATCTAGGACATTACAGCAACTGTTGAAGCTAGTTTACCCAGTCCCTTCACATATAACAGTCTTTGGGGGACCAAGCCTCCGCTCCCGTGATTTTCTTGAGATAACACTCTTATCTCCTATACTTCGTGTCCCGGGAGGGTTCCGTGGTATTTCTCTTCCCCCCACTGAAGCCTCCTTCTCCACAAATATCCGTCGCTAAGGTTCTTATCGTGTGTTATTGCCACGATAAGAGGCTCCGTGATTTTTCTGTCTCTGATACAACTGTTCTTCACAATCTCTATCGTGGTTCTGATTTTCGTATTTTTATTCAAAATGGCCGTCTTTTCTCTATTTCTCAGAAATGTTCTTCTTCCAATCGAAATTTTAAAAATAAAAATTCTAGAACATTCTGACCCTCCGTCGCAACACTTTTTTGTTCATAAGGCCTTTAGTCACTCTTTTTTATGTCGCCGGAAGGTTGTGCTGTGTCATCTGGCAGAATGGCACATACTCCCCGGACAAGTCTCCATCAATGTCCCTATTGATCGCATAACACCGGGTTATCGTCAAGTAGTTATCCAGTTTTCTGTAACCAATCTTACAAATTGCATAAGAAATTGAAATTTATCTACTCCACCTCAACTCACTACGTGTTCACAAATGGCATCGTACTGCATCTCACTGCCTTTCAACTTTTTCACAAAATTTGCACCATGAGGAGTGTCCTAGATAAATTTTCTTTTCTGACTACTTACGTCATCTTGCCATAAAACTTCTTTTCGCTTCTGATTAAAAAGTGGGACGTGGCACGGCCACGCACCCGTTAAAATTAACTTAACACTACTCACAAAGTATAATCAGTCATTTATGCGGTCCTTTCAATATTAAAACTAAGAAACTCTGTGGCTAGGAAAGTTATTGAGTTACCCACCCTTCTCGAGTGAATTTACTCAAACTTACCATGTCGCCACACAGTGAAGTTGTGTCTTACACAGGTTAAAAACTTCAGTCGTGAATAAATAGGTAAATATACTCACCTATGTTCCTTATATACATACATAGATAGTAGTAACTAAAATCAACAATTTCAACAATTTTAACAATTGCAACATTTTCAAAGTTTGGTCTGACCAAACTAGATCAAAACAAAAAGTTTAACAAGTTCAATAATCAAAACTTGGTTGATTTGTTCAAGTTTTTGCACACAAAGACAATCAAGTTTTTTTTCCCTTCTCTTCTCTTCTTCGGTCATCTTCATTCCATCATTTCTCCATCCTGGTGTTCAGCGTCACTGTCTTCCAGAACTTTCTCTAACATGTCCAGAGAGTTGCGGGCCGTGCCCCAACCCTCCTGTTCCAACAGCCTCGGTTTGCAACAAGGTAGCAAGTCCTCATTCACCTTCTGCTCCCGGTTCCTGCAAAAGCTGTTGTGAAGACATAGGCTCACGTTTCGTTCTAGGTCAGCTCTTAAGACCTCTTTCTTCTCATCTTCAGTGACACAAGGCGCTCCAGCTACTCGCTTCACCGCCGTGGTGACCGCGTTTCTATGCGTCAGGAAAGCTCTCTTATAGGCTCCTGGTCCTATGTCTAGCTGGAAAGATTGATAGGCTTCCGTGTTCCTTGACATGTGACGCTTCGCGCGTTCATACATCCAAGATGTCATCACTGCACGGAACCAAGGCATCAATCTTTGCCTTGACCATATTCTTTCAATGGCTTTTGGTATTCTCAGAACCTTGCAGGTGGTTCTGAAAAGATCCAACTCACGACTCATTTTTACATTGCTCAGCTGTTCAGGAGTCGGCACGGCCGTCTCCTGCTCACTTGTGTCTGCGTTAGCCTCCAACCATCTCACTGCTAGCATGGCGCTAACCACCACGATTGACACTTGTTGATTCTGATCGGGCAACCCCGTGGAGTACAACTCCTCCACGTCCCATACTAGGATCAGATTCCCGCGTTTGGGGTACCACAACGTCTGCGCCAAGCAGTGGCAAGGATACTCCCCATGGGTCCTCACTATGTTCCTTCGGGTCCGATACCCTGAGGCTCCCAGCAACGGTTCCACTTCCATCAGAATTCTATGTAAGTCGTCTTTCTCTTCTATGGTGGGGAATTCAGTGGGTAACGCTCCACTCGCTTTCTGCTTCTGGAACTCACTCACGTTGCCTTCGTTCAGTCTCATGAACTCTTCACCCACAACGTCTTGCAACTCGCCTTCGGATCTCTTCGGGACTGCCCGAAAGATCTTTGCCAACAAGTCATATGACCTTTCTGACATTCTGGCCAACCTCACGCACTTTGGCACAGAGAAAAGTTGGTCAACCAACACTTGTTGCGTCCTCGCATCCATCACTACCATGTGCGTAGGATACTTGCTATTACAGTATGGCGCGGAGCTTGAACCCACCATATATTTTGAACCAGTAGGTCTGTGATAGGCTTCACTATCCTTCAGATTCATTTCATTCTCCAGGGCTTCTCGCCAGCCTCCAATCTTTTGCTCTGTCTGTAATGCTCCAGGGAATATTTCCACGCTGAGGGACGTCACTAGCTCATGGGCACGCTCCAAGCGCTCGAGCGATTCTATCGAACTCGTCATGCTACAAAATCCCAAGGCTGTGATCAGGTTTACGTCCGTCACCCCATGGCAGTCTGCGACCAACTCCATGGCACCCTTATCTGACATGCTCAATCTCCCGTACAATCGTGCCAGTTGTCGATGCTGCTCGCTCAGCGTAATCAGGCAGTGTCCCATGTTACAAACATGTCCTTCCATCCCACTGTGTTGAGCCAAGCATGTGCCTTGCTTCAACCAATTACTCGATGTACCTTCCTCGGACAGCTCAGTGGACGGATTGCTCTTCCTCTTCGTCAATCTCATGGCCAGCAGGTGATGTATCATGGCCAGATCATGTAAACTCGCATCATCATCCCGTTCTAACATGACATCCGCGGTCATGTCCCAGATTAAGCCTGCGTTAGGATGGGGACACCAGGAAGGCTTCATGAGTTCCCACATCACTACTAGACTGGTTTTCAAGGGACCGTCCCAAGAACCACAATCAAAACTCACTTGCCCTTTTAGCTCGGGAATCGAGGGCTCGACTACTCGTTCTTCCAAAAAAATTCCAAGCTTGGGTTGTTCCACCATCAACATTCCAATTTCCTTAATCCGTTCAACCCAGAAGTTGAGCACTGTGACTTGCTCGTAGTCGAAGTATGCTTCCCTGGCTTCTTCGTTCACGAAGGGATTATACGC